CTACCTGAACCTTCTAGAAGAATTAATAAAGCAGTTCAGAGTACTCCTAGCAGCATGCTATCCGCTGCAGCTTAACCTTCACCACTGCAGTGTATTTATTGGCTAGTGACTAAGGCAGCTCTAGGGTTTAAATGAGCGAGCCAAAAAGATGTTGGTAGTTCCCTACATACGGTGAGGTTCCATGGTGATGACTCCATAAGTCAAATACCTTTCCAATGTATTTTATTCTTTTTAGTTTTCATTTTTAGTGCCTTTTACGATCAGTATCTTTATAGATTCAGTTGTTTGTGTTTAGGAGTTGAAAACCTTACATATAAACTTAATGTTTCGACAATGGCACTTTCTGCTTCTCTAGTTATACGCAACATAAGCCAAGATTAGAAATAAAACAGAAATCACAACTTATTAGCGGAACTACCTGTATTTAGGAAAACAAATCACACTTGCAGCTTAGAAGCCACAGATGTAGGAGAAAAACTCCTAGACCTTCTTGGGTTTTTTTTGTTTTTTTTCTGTGACAACTCGGAACCATTTATGAAAACACAGAGTCAGAAAGGTCGGAGAGTGGCAGCTACGCTCGAAGCAGAGCCAGACGTCTTCTGGACCGCATGGAACCTTCTGGCGTTTGCCCCCAGAGCATCTGGGCTTCCCCACAACACGGGATATACGACAGTCCTGCTTCCTCCATCAGGACTGAAAAGGCAGGTGCTATGCTCAGCTCACGTCTAGACCTTCTTGTATCCCTTCTAAATGGATTGTTGTAATGTTGTAAAGCTGAACATCCCTTTGTATTAATCAGTTATCGGTATTAATGTAAGGCAGAGGTATGAAAATAACTTGGAAAAACTGTCCTGGCCTACTTTTAGATAATTCAACGAGTTGGCACTACCCACTTGTTTTGTTAATATATTGAGACATGGAACGGGGACACCAAGCTTCGTTTATACCTTGCTCCAACTGAACACTGACAGCTTGGCAAAAAATCTTTGAATCTATTCTCCAGATCAAGCAATTGGAGGATGTGGTGGTGGAAGGTTCAGTGTGGCCTGCTTTGGCCATCCAGTGAGGAAGGAAAATCAGTTCCACACCAGGCCAGGGCCAGATATCCTTCTGTGAGGTTTCTGAGTGGGTAACACCTCGGTTCTTGGCTTCGCACGAAAGAATTCACGCGAGTTTTTACGAAGGACAGAGAAGTTTCAGGTTGTACAGTCTCAAAAGAGTACACGCTATTTCAGGGAAGTGTGCCCAACTATGCCGAAGTTGTGTTGGGGCTCCCAACTGAACACAGGCAAACTCCTGGCACAGCGCGCCCGCACGTGGTGAACTGAAGCCAGAGAGAGGGCAGCTTGGCGTGAGCAGGCGCTGGGGGGTTGGGGGTTCATGGGAGTGAGAAGAGAGAGGCTGTGGGTCCCAAGCAGGCCTGGAGTGGGTGCTGAGGGGAGTCTGCTCAGGCAGTGTGTGTGCCCCTCCTACCACCACCTGCTTCTGGCCAGGAGGGGTGTAAAAAGAGAATGGGCTTTCCCGCTGCCAGGGCATTTCAGACCTCTGGCTGGGGAGGTGTGGTTGAAGGTATTGGTTGGCCCCATTGACTGAATTAAGCCCACCTGGGCCTAGTTTGGGCTGCCCAGGTGCACCACCCACCTGGCTGGGGGCTTGAATTGGAGCATGCTCAGTTAAGGGGTCCTCACCTGATTCCTTCCCAATATGGGGCCTCTGCAAGCATGGGAGGGACAAGCCCCTATCCCTGTCTCTAGCTACCTAACACTTCCACCCTCTAATTTCCTTTACCTTTTCCTGACACCAACCATCCCTCGCATCCACTCTACTTCTCTATTTGGTTGAATAATCCATTGCTTTTGAGATGGATCATTTTTCTATTAAGCGGAATCGAAAAATGCACCAGAGTTAGAGCCCCTTATTTGCATGCTCCTATGCAATTACCAGGGGTGAGTTACAAAGATTGAATTGAAGAGAAATACCAGGTCCTTTCCACGATGTCCGTAAAGAAGAGACACTGGACTCCTCAACCAAAGAAAAGAAATCAGGGAAACCAGCCTTTTAATCATTGGCTTGACTTGCCTCTGAGGGAATGCTTTCCTACCATCAACTGCCTTTAAACACAAGGCAGAAGCTATACTCCCATCAGTGGATAGCCCACTAGTGTTCTCATGGAAACCTGGACCACTCACTCACTCGACCATCAATACTTAACTCCCCCACCCTCTGAATTCAGAAAATTTTACCTGTGGTCTTGATAGTTGACTATTACCCTTATTCACCTAACAGATTTTGCTCAACCTTACTACCCTAGCAGGGTCCTAGGAGTGCTCACCAATGGAACATTAGCATTATGTGCTTCCCAGAGGACTCGTCCTGGAAGTTCCTGATTCGTTTCCTACTTGCCAGATTCCCTTACCACGTTGATGCATTTCTCTCACCCCATAGTTCCCTTTTTGCTCCTATTTTATTTCTTTTTCAAATTCAATTTTATGCTTTCTATCCTTGAGGGCAAACATACCTACAAGGTTGTCCCCATATGTGATCATAACCAGGAAACTGAGTTTCCTATCATCCTGGAGTTTCTATCACTCTAAACTTGTCTAGTATCTAAGTCTGGTAGCTGGACGTATTAGCAAGAATTCATTATGCACACTCATGCAAAGACTTCATCACCTAACGGGAAGCTCGCCCATTCTTGGACCCAGGTATTCCAAATAAAAAAGTGTAAATCCTATTCCAAATGAAAGTACATCCCAACAGATGTTCTTAAACTGAAGTTCGTCTTTGTCTGGCCAGATCAATATCAGGCCGGTTCCGAGGGGCCACAGTGATTGACCTCTTGCACCCCCCCCCCACCCCCCGCCCCACCCACCCCCACTTGCGGAGCTGACCAGAGCTGACTGATGCAACTCTCTCCTGATCTTGCATTTAATACCACGTGGAACGCAGACCACCTGAAACCCGGAAGACACCTCTGCCTGGCCAGAAACCGGGATGTGCCTGTGTCCTCCAATCCCTAACTACTTTACCTTATACGGGCCCAAAGCAGCTTAGCTACTTGTTCTCAGGCAATATAAACATCACCCCGGTAGCCTGGGGCGTGACTCCCTGGGCCCAGATGCTGTGGAGTGTGGGACCTCGCCCAGGCTGGGTTTTTCTCTCTAATAAAGCCTGCTTGCTTAAAATTTGACTGATTTGGTATCAGGCGCCCCTCGACCACCTTATAGTCTGGAACTCACTTTTAAGAAATAATATTAATTTTGGTGGCCATAAAATGTTTCCTCTAATAAACAGTAGCTAAACTTTATTAAGAATTCATCATGTTCCAGAAACTATTGAAAATGTTACATGTATTAATAACAAGTATCGAAGCAATTCTATGAGTAGGAACTACTGTTACCTCCTATTATGTATGCCTTTATGTATAAGTTAGACTATTAAGTATGCTTTTTACACTGTTATTGCAGGGGGAGTGAAGTATTTAATATGGCTCTTCTAGTCAGTCTCTAACTCCCACCAATCTTTTCCTGCATGGGTCTGGTAAGAAGGTGGGAGACGACACTGACAGGATTCACCTGTGAGTAATTGTGAACAGGATTCCCTGGAATGCTATCCTGGTGTGTAAAATGAGCTCTTTGAGGTGCAGGAGGCAGTATATCACCAAGAGCTGAGATCCCTGTGCAGTGATCCACCTGGATCTCTAAAAGAGCAACAGCAGAACCAGGAGTCAGCATGGAACAGGCAGATGGACTTCCCAACCCATTGAGCAAGCAAAGCTGTGCTTTTATATAGGAGGTTGGTTTGTGGACTGGGCTGCCTCCGGGAACTTAACTGGGGGAAGCTGGGCTTGCTGACCCACTAAAGTGGAGTTAGATGCCTTCAGGCTGAGGGTGACTGGATTGGAGTGCCTCTGGGGACTGAATTCAGGGAAGTAGGTTTGCTGACCAGTGCAGCTTGAGCTGAGTACCTTAGGGTGGAGATTTATAACAGAGTGATATGCCCCTCTGGGCATGTTAGCAGACCAGAAAGAAGTTTGTAACAGTGTCCTGATGATAAAATATCCAGAGCATTTCTCACTGGCATTACAACCTGCTAACTTCCATTATAAACCCTTTAATCATGAATTTTGTCTGTGAGTTCTTTGCAGTCATTGCAATGGATATCAGACCCCAGAACGCTAGTGAAGACATTGTTATGATGCTTTTAATATGTAATTCAATTATGTGAAGTCAGAAATAGAATTTCTGAATTTAGAAGAACTATGTATACATTACTTGTATGATGCTCTCTAACCATTAACTGTTAAGTCATTAGAAATACAGCCATTAGAAAGTCATTCTAAATCTCAGAAATGGGTAATACTTGTATGTGAACAATGTTGTCAAGAAGCATATAAATGTCATGTCAACCTGTCAACCTTTATTTCTAATAAATAAAATCTCTATAAATCGTTGTATGGCATATGTATAACACTAAAGTATACTAATGATTCAAATCTCTGTAAATTGGCCACGAAACTAATGTCACTAATCAATTCCCTTAATTGGCAATAACACATAACAATTATGGTTACACATGACAGTATACCTTCTTAGGAAGTCGACAAAGATGCCAATAATAAACCCTTGATTTCTGTTCACTCTCTGAAGTAGAAGGTGTCTACAAAAGGTCTATTTAAGTCTGCCTCTCTATGAAGACTGAGATACTGCCCACCACACCATCCTCAGACCCAGCTGGGCGGGGCTGGGGGTGGGGGAGACCACCTCCTCTGAGTTTAAGGGGTGGTGTGAAGTCTTCCTCCTTGAGACTATTCATTAGAGGCAATGAGTTGGAGGAGGAAGGAAAGGGGGAAAGAGGAGCTGACACTAAGGGCTCAATAGAAAATAAATGTCTAGAAAATAATGATGGCTACACAGGTACAAATGTATGGATTGTTATAAGAGCTGGAAAAGCCCTCAATGAAATGTTTGTGGGAGTTGGGCCTCGGGCAGAAGAACGAAATGAAGCGAGTGGCCGTGGTCTCTGTGCCTGCGGTGCTCAGTGCCTTGGGCTTCACCGGTGCCGGGATCATGGCCTCCTCCATTGCTGCCAAAATGATGTTGGCTGCTGCTGTTGCCAATGGGGGGTGGGGTGGGCCGAGTTGCGGCAGGCAACCTGGGGCCACTCTGCAGTCAGTGGGGACCGCTGGACTCTCCACATCCTCCAACATCCTCCTGGGCACTGCTGGGTCAGCTGTGGGGGCCTACATGGGACATTCAAAAAAGAAGCCCTCGCCCCCATGGAAGGAGACGAGGCAGGGGATCTGAGTGAAGGAGAATCAGATGATGAATAAGATACTTCTCCAAGAGAAAACCTACTCAAAGCTAAACCTCTAACCCCCCTCTCAGGTCAGAGAAGCATGGAAAATAAAGTTCCTGTCCTGCTGGCTAAAAAAAAAAAAAGAAAAAGAAATGTTTTTGTTTTTTAAGTTAATGAGTTGTAGTCAATTGATAAAGCCTTCTCACCATAATTCCTTCCGTGATGTATCGTAATGCTGGCTGTATGCCTGTGGCTACAATCTCATGTTGGAGGTCATTCTCTCCCATAGTTAGACAGGATGAGGGTGGGATTAAGACCTGACTTTAGTAGAATGTGAATCAAACCACACCTTTTGCTTCCTTGGGGATATTTTGACTCTGCCCATTAGAGGGTGTGGCTCAAGATACCACCCCTTTGTACTCCTTGGATGGAGGTATCAATGCTGGTGCCACTGTCCCAACATGGTGCAGCACATCACAAGAAAAACCATACTTCTACTTCCTGAGTTTTGGTCGAAGCAAGAAAACCTGCTGTGGCTTTTGGACATTTTGGACTTCTGGTTCTGGTCCCTGCATTTGCCTCCCCGCTGCCTGAGCTCCCGTTTGGGGACTAAACAGCACCCCGCCACAGGAGGCATTTGCTTCATTTGGTCAGTTTCTGAGGGAGGGTGCAGGGGCTTGAGGGAATGTACTCGTGAAAGAAGTCATGGTAGTGGGGATGGTGGTGGGGGTGATGGAGATGAACAGCATCTTGGAAGAGTTGGACACTTGGGAGTCTTTCATCTCCAACTCCTTGGGACTAGTCTGGTATTAATTCTAAAAAAACTATTGCCACAGGTAAAACTTGATGCCGTAAGAAGTAGACTCTAACCATTAACATAACATTGTAATTGTTAGTTTTTATTCTCCAACACTAAATGAATGTCTTGAGAACTTGTGGAATCCTGCCATGATTGTGTTTTAGGGGAACATGATTACAAAGGTATAAAAGTTGGGGGCGGGGAGGGAGGAGAAAATGAGGAGCTGATAGCAAGGGTTCAAGTAGAAAGAAAATGTTTTGAGAATGATGATGGCAACAAATGTTCAAATGTGCTGGACACAATGGATGGATGGATGGATTGTGATAAGAGTTGTATGAGCCCCCAATAAAATGATTTAAAAAAGAAAAAAATTATAAAAGTGAGGAAAATAAAATTCTATCTGTGGAAAAGAGGTGGGAAACTAATCAAAGCTTTGTCTGAGTACAAAGAACAATACACGATCAATATCAATGATTAATAGAGACAAAGTCTGGTCCTTTCAATAGATGAGTGAGATAGTTTATTGTGCCAGCCTGGCGGATAAACACAAGTGGGATTAACTGAAGGGCAGAGAGATAAATGGCTCTGTGAGCCTCACCTTTCTTGTCTCTCGCTCTTTGATCATTGAACCAGTGTGCAGCTGCCTTGCTTGTTCTGTGCCTCAATTTAAAGGCTACACTACCTGTGGGACGCCTAGCCTGTGGACTGTGTCGCTGTAAGTTGAGGTCCCTTTAAGACATCTCTAGAGCTGGGGACTGGCGGTTGGTGACCTGGCTGACAGTTGGTGACCTGCCTTGTGATTGGCTGCTGTGCTGAGCTAGCCTAGCTCTCTCTCTAGAGGAAGATCTGGCAGCAGACTAGACTGGAAGGACTGCTAGTGTCTCACAATTCTCTGCACTGAGCCATTTGTACTGCTTTATAATTTAACTGTTCATTTCTTGTATTATATATCTATCTGTATATAATTTAACAGCTCACTTCTTGTGTTAATATATTTATTTATAAAGATAATTAGATATATAATTATATATTAGATATATATAACTATATATATTAGCTATGTAATTTATATTAGATATAAATTATCAGCAATTTGGTTTTATCTCTCTAGAGAACCCTAACACAATGAGTTTTTCCAAAGGTCTTCGTTACAAGCTTTTGTGGCTGGGGCAGTCCCAAAGTGTTTTTTCAACTAGCCAGAATTGGAGAAAACAAAAGAATGATAGCATCCTTTACTTGTCTCAGTTCTAATGACGCCCTTAAACCACCCTTTCTTATTCCTTGTGGTTATCTGGCTGCCTAATAGGCAAACTGCTCTTCCCTTCCTAGATTATCAGGGAGATGCCACTCTCCTTCCCTGTCTCCTTGAGATCTCACTTTGGCAGTTGGGTGGTTGTCAGAAGTAGGTTCAAGACACTCAAGATGTCCTTGAGGATTATTTCAAGGTTTTGGGTGGAACTTGGACTTTGGCTGAAGGTCAGGAAATTGCTTTTCATTTCAGGCACTGACTCAATTGCAATGAATGAAATGAGTTTACTCGACACAAAACTTGGGCATTTATTTATCCTCACATTAAAAATGCTCCCAGACACGAGGATTTTACAGATTATAAAACTGAGACACGGAGAAGTTAAGTGATTATCCCACGGTTTATAACTAGTGAGTGGTAGAGCCAGTATCTGACTCTCAAGGACAGAAGAATATCCCACCTCCTGCCATATATGTAGCCCCACTTTTGGATTCACCAAAGATTTCTTAAAACTCAAGGTCAACATCCACTTATTTAAAAAGGTTCTTCAGCATTAGTGAGTGCATTAGTCCTAAGCAAATCCACTCCTTAATTGTTTGGCAGCACACTGTCTTTCCCACCAGTATTGCATTGAACTGTGTTTAGCATAAAGGCATTGTGAAGTCCTGTCAATGGGACCTGGTTTGGAAAGTCTTTAGAGATGTTATCGGTTAACATAAATGTTAGTTTTATTAGGTAAATCAAAATCCAGTATGACTGTGAGAAGAGACAGAGATACACAAAGGAAGGAGACCATGCAATAGCTGAGGCAGAGTGTCACTGCAAGAGAGGAACACCTGGGTCTACCAGAAACAGAGACAAAAGGCAGGCTCTGCCCTAGAATCTTCAGCGTATAGCCACACACAGAACAAACACACCAACCCAAACCCAAAGAGTCGTAGCGATCCCCTTGGACAGAGTGGAACTTCCCCACAGTGTTTCTGCCCCATAGTATGTCAATTTTTACAGAGCTAGGCAGACACATCTCTCTCCCTCAGAGCTGCTGGTGGGTTCAAAGAGCCTACCTTTAGGGGGTTAGCAAATCAGCACTTAACCTCTACACCACCAGGGCGCCTATAAGCCCCTGTAGACACACTGAATCTGGGCTCCATGGCAGAGAGTGAGAAAACATGGTTTCCTTTTTATAAGCCACCAATTTTGTGGTACCTCTCAATTTATGCTTAGGAAATGGAAACAGAACTAAAGTCTACCTAACCACAGTTGAAGCTAATCACAGAAAAGGGGTGAGAATTAACTCATGTTTTTTGAAAGATCTGGAAGACAGTGAGATGTCTCTTGACTGCTTTGCTTTCCCCAATACAGTCAGTGCTTTCATACCCTTCTGGGTATCACAATACATCTATATTGTCATACTCTTTTCTCAGAGTTCAATGGCTTGCCCATCCGAGTGTGCAATCTACATTCCACTGAATCACAGTAATTTACATCCTGACCCCTGACCCTTATTAATGTTCCTAATGAAAGCATCTGCATAAGGGTCCATTCTTTAATGCATGAGCCTATTAGCCCCGTTTGTTTTTGTCCTTTTCACAGTGAGTTCCCTTATTCAAAGTTTGAGTTAACAATACAATAACACAACATTAAGTCAACCAGCTTATACGTTCTAGAAGCATGGGCACTTGGTAAAGGTTGGAGCAGGAAAAGACTAAAGGGTTTAGACATAGTACTACTGTAGTGTAGTGTAGGCGATGACGAGAGAAAATGAGCAGGCACTCAAAGAGGTGGAGAAAATCAATCTTTATTAAGCCAGCGAACCCAGAGGGGCCGCTGCTCCCAAGCTCTGGGCCCAGAATGAAGGGTAAGCAGGCCTTTCATACTTTCCTACTTCCAGTTTGTAAGGGGAAGGGGTTCTGCAAGTGTGTTTTTCCAGAAGTTTGGTCAGATCAACACAGGTGAGGCATTCTGTAGTCAGGAATTCTTCCTGGGTTGGTGTACCACCTTCAGTTGTTTGTAGCCCTGGGCTATTCTGCCTATTTCACTGTTTTTCCACTTCATTACTTCATTTTGAGATGTTTGGTTTTTAAAACTTATTTTAAACCCTGCTCTCAAAACTAACACAACAGGAAATGAATATGGTACTCCTGGTAGAAGAATTTTGCCTACCTGTATAGAGCATATAAACTCTATCGCTCAGCCTTCACGATATCGCTCCACATAGCCTTCCAAGAAGTGAAACCAAGATAACATACCACCACCACAAAAATGACTATCTGGAAAACATGTGGAGTAAACGTTTTCATTTAGTGAAACATGGCCTTATCATATGGACATATGGACTATACCACTCCCACCTAGTAGCATTCCCTTAGGCCTGCTCTTGCTGTTGTTCTGGGGAGTGCTCCCCTCTTTCTTACTGTAAGGGTTTTTGAGGTGCAAAACGGAATTAAATATTCAATTGGTAAAGTTTTAGAAGGTGGCTTTATTGAGAAGCTTGCAGGGCGGGTTCAGCAACTCAGGCATTGAGCTAGTGAAACTGCGTGAGGGGAATTCTGGCTGCGTTTTTTATACCCCCTGGTGGCAGGCACAGCTGCACACAGGGGCTTCACAGGGAGGCGCTCATTAATCTTATCTATACGTCAGGGACGGGTGGAATAAACACATCTTCAAGAAATGCAGGGAAGTAGTCGTTAATCTTATCTATAGGTACAGGGCAGGTGGAGTAAACATATCTTCAAAGAACATTCTTTATCGGGGATGTCTGGTTCTCAGAACCGGTGATTTTCAGCGAGGGGAGGGGAGGCCGATGTGAGGGAGGCCCATGAGAGGTGAGTTCTGAGAACCAAGAGGTACCGGATTCAAAATGGAGTCCCTTGTGCCAAGGCCAGGCACTTACTATATTGTTATTTGCTGGGCTAATGAACATCCGTGTGAAAGAACATAGATCAACAGCAATTTATACC